CTCCCCACTTCATGAGATGGCCATAGCTAACGACTCTCTAGTCACCCCGCAGACTCATCCAAACCAAACTATGCTCTGTACGTTGGATGTGTCTGAAGCCTTAGAAGATCTGGAAAGCGAGTGGTCAAACAAGGACCCTCGTGAATCTTGGGTGGCACTAAGGAAGGGTCCGAGAGGGGAACATTTCGTAGTGGAAGTTGATGTAGGAGGCCGCAAATGTGGTGCCTTCATAGACATTGGCTCCACGCGGAATTACATAAGTTGCGACTGTTTGGAAAGCTGCACCTACAGGACTGGGTACAACACCTTAGTACACCTGTAGCATCTACTTTGGCCAATAAGGAGCGCATATAGTCACAGACTATATCAAGGACGTAGTTTGTACCTTCTCCTATGGAGGAGGGGAACTTAATCGTAAGATTTCGTTCCTTGTTAGCGACGACTTACCATTCGACATGTTGTTAGGCATGTACAACCTTGAGGTTGCCAAACCCCAGTTTGACTGGGACAAGAAGGTGCTAAAACATAAGTTGCCCGATGGCAGAACAGTCAGATTGACTAAGTTCAAAGCCAGTAGCATTATAGATACCTATGGCTGCTTGTGTGCATCAGCATTCTATAACTATTACAAACAGAACCAAGAGGAGGGTATGTACCTAGTGTATGTCTCTGAGAAAGGGGAGGCCGTTAAAACACCCCCAAAGATAGAACACGTCGTTGCTAAGTTCCCTGATCTATTCGAAGAGCCTACAGGAGTTGTGGAAAGGGAAGTTGTCTACGCTATAGAAATCATTCCAGGGAGTAAAACCCCAAAGGGAAGGATCTATAGGATGGCTCCCGCCGAGTTAGATGAACTTCGGCGACAACTGAAAGAGCTGACAGAAAAGGGATGGATCCGACCTAGTACTTCCCCTTACGGATCTCCAGTACTATTTGTACCAAAGAAGGGGGGTACATTGAGGATGTGCATTGACTATAGAGGCCTCAATGCCATCACAGTAAAGAACGCAGAGCCTCTACCTCGCATAGACGACCTACTGGATAGGGTGCAGGGATGCAAATACTATAGCAAGATAAACTTGAAATCCGGCTATCATCAGATCGCTATAAGACCTGAGGACCAAGACAAGACAACTTTTCAGACTCGATATGGTCTGTATGAGTTTGTTGTGATGCCCTTTGGTCTTTGCAATGCGCCGGGAACATTCCAGCACGCTATGAATCAGATCTTCCATGACCATTTAGATAAGTTTGTCGTGGTTTATCTTGACGACATTCTGATCTTTAGTAAGTCTGCCGAGGAGCATGCACAACACGCTGAGACTGTACTTTCACTCCTGCGACAACACAAGTATAAGGTCAACCTAGAGAAGTGTGAGTTTGGTCGCACTAAGATATTATACTTGGGTCATGAAGTATCCGCGGAAGGGATTAGGCTGGAAGATGCGAAGGTGGCTAGTATTCGAGACTGGCCACGACCTCAGACAGTTACTGAGGTCAGATCTTTTCTTAGGAATGTGCGGCTATTATAGGAACTTCGTAAAGAATTATTCCACAGTCGCCTCTCCTTTGACAAATCTAACTCGACTTGACACGCCGTGGGACTGGAGTGATGAGTGCGAGGGTGCTTTCAAGCGATTGAAGCATGCACTCATGAATCATGAAGTTCTCATGGTTCCCGATCCTCAGAAGCCGTTCATAGTGACCACTGACGCAAGCCAATACAGCATTGGCGCAGTGCTGGCTCAGCAGGATGGGAAGAAGTTGAGACCGATTGAGTACATGAGCAAGAAAATGCCATCGAAGAAATTGGCAAAGTCCACCTACGAAAGGGAACTCTATGCTCTCTACAAGACACTTGTCCATTGGAGACACTTTCTGTTGGGACAGTTCTTCTACTTGAGAACTGACCATCAGACGCTCAAACGGATCAAGACTCAACCGGCTCTTTCTGATGCACTCAAGCGCTGGATTGAGGTCATAGATCAGTATGACTTCAAGCTTGAGTATCTGAAGGGAGAGTACAACAAGGTTGAGATGCACTATCTCGTAGAGAAGACTACCTAGGGGCGCTAGTTTATGAGTTTGGTGTATCTCAAAAAATAACTCAATCGTTGGTGGGAGCCTATCAGGAAGACCCTGTCATGATGGACATCATACGCAAACTTCAGGCAAAAGACAAGGCCACAGAAAGTGAGTTTGTGATGGTGGATGGGTTACTCTTTCTTGATAAGGCCGGGGGTAAAAGGTTAGTAATTCCATCGAGTGAGAGTTTTATTTCTAGGAGAATGTCACGACGCAACTGGACACTTCGGCTCCAAGAAGACGAGTGTTAATCTAGTACAACGATTTTGGTGGCCTGGAATGTTAGATGACACAAAGAAGTATGTAGAGACCTGTCAGGTCTGTCAGCGGGACAAGTCGCGAACTCAAGCACCGCTTGGATTGCTGAAGCCCTTACCTATCCCCGCTGGTCCAGGACAGAGTGTTTCCATGGATTTCATGGACACCCTGGTGACCAGTAAGAGTGGCAAGAGGCACATTTTCGTCATCATCGATCGATTCACCAAGTATGCTAGACTAGTTGCCATGCCAGAGACCGCCAGAACGGACCACGTCATCAAGTTGTTTTTGGACAACTGGGTGCGTGATTTTGGACTTCCTTAGTCAATCGTTAGTGACAGAGATGTCCGATTCACAAGTGACCTGTGGAAGAAGACTGTTGAGCAGATGGGCAGTCAACTTCAGATGACTTCAGGGAATCATCCCGAAGCCAACGGGCACGTTGAACAAATGAACAGAGTTGTACAGCACTTGCTGAGGCATTACATCAAGCCCAGCCAGGATGATTGGGATGAGAAGTTGCCTCCCATCGCCAGCCTGTACAACAATGCTGTACACAGCAGTACCGGCGTCAGTCCTAATCAGCTGCACTTGGGATGGAAGCCTAGATCAGCTCTAGACTTCCTCCTTCCTGAGAACCGATCCTCTGCAACTCCAGGCACACTTGAGTATGGTGTGCAGTATTAAAAGTTGCTGCAGCAAGCTGTCGAGCACATCAAGAAAGCTCAGCAAGCAATGATTGCTTTTGAGAACAAGCACCGACGACAGTCCTCATTTCAGGTAGGGGAACGTGTCTGGGTCAAGGCTAGTGAGCTAGGACAGGAATTCGGGATCTCTCGTAAACTAATGCCACAGTATTTTGGTCCCTGGGAAGTCCTGGATGTAGTGGGGGATGAGATGGATGGCCCTACCTATGTTATCCGTATCCCTAGACACCTACGCACTCACCCTATCTTTCATGCCTCAAAGCTTGCACCTTTCGCTGAGACTGATCAATTCCCTTCAAGGAGATCGATGCTGCCCCCAACCATGGATGGTCAAGTGGACATCGACGACATTGTGGATCACAGAGATCTGCCTGTGCAGAAGCCATTGGGTAGAGGAAGACCTCTTAAACCCAAGAGAGAATATCGCGTCAAATTCAGGCATCATACGGATCCAAAAGCAGACCGGTGGTTCACCAGAGAGGAACTGATTGACACAACTCCTCAGGTGGTGGCAGAATATGAGAGAATGCTGAAAGGGAAGGCACCTGCCAAGTAAGCATCTCAGCGGACTTTCGAAGCTAAGGGGGATGGAATGTGAGGATTGAGCCCTCAAGAAGGGGCCTTGCCATGATGTACATGTTCTGGGCTAAGGCCCTTGCAAGCCTAGTGCCCGCCCTAAGTGAAGGCGGGCCAACAAATCAACAAGAGCCCTCTGTGCAAACATTTCACGAAGTGGGGTCCATACTGTTGCAGCACGCCAGTTGGTTGGTGTGCACCGAGTATCGGAGCTCTGCAAATGCAGAAATCCCAGGGCCCCGAGTTGGTTAGGCCCTGGGCACATCAACGTGAGGCCGACAATGCATGCTGGATATAGACGCTGAAAATGCCAAGGGGAACCGGTCCACTATCTGAATCTGGCCGCAGGCCTTGATGAAAGAGGCGCAACTGCATCTCCTGGGCCCCCAACTGCATCGGGCCTGGGTACAGGCACTGGGGCCCAAGCACAGGCTCAAGGGAGGCCGCCCACACGCAACACTAGCATATAGGCAAGCAGGGCGAGTGGGCAGGGATCTTGGCCATTGCGGGCAATGCCGGCACGCTGTGCGAATGCCAGCTGTTGCGCTGCTGCGCTGCGCTAGGCTGAGGTGCAGGACAGGCAGGCGCTAGGCGGTAGGGCGCTGCCTGTACACAGGGCGCTGGCGGCCATAGCCGGGCTGCCTGAGGGCGCAGGGGAGGTGAGGGCGAAGGTGGTTCTTCGGAGGTGAAGGGCGCTGTGTGGGATAACAAGGGAGAGTGTGGGTGAAGAAGGAGACGTACCTGGTGGAGGTGGGAGGTCGGCATTGGAGTTGACATCATCACTTGCTGGTCGTCAAGTTGTCTGGTTGCTTACATACTGTAGTTGTAGTGTTAGGCTGTAGAGTAGGTAGGGCGCCTGGCGCCATTCAAGAGAGAGAGCTACATTGGGTTATGCTGTTGGTGTYGCCCTGTTGGGCTTGGACATTGACTCACGATTCTTCTGTATCGTTCTCAAATGGATGGTTACTCGGTTCCATTGTGCTATCTGCTCTTGCTTTGACTACTTGGACTTCAGTGTGATTTTTTTGCAATCTGGATCTCTGTGCTTCGTCCATATTCATGTTCCTTGCACAAACAAAACCAAACAAAACATAACATAACATATTATAACATAACAAAACAAAACAAAACAAAACAAAACATTGCAGCTTGAATCCTTGGTTGAATGTCTCTAAGGCATACTTGCAGCGCACCTATGCGGTGCCCGGTGCGCACATGCGTGGCTCGCGCGCACGTGCACAGTCTCCAAATATTTCCTGTTCACCAGGTAGAGTCTACAGAGTCCCAAGGGTTTTAGTGACGTTTACGACTTTACACTGTTTACAGTGTTGACGGGAGGCTCGTTTGCTGGTTCTTCTGTATGTGCCTTTGCAGGATACACCAGGCTGCGAATATTTCCTGTTCACCAGGAAGAAAGCACAGGAGGAAGCTGTGAATCAGGTATAAAATAATTATTAATACTGTTTAATCGTAATTTAATACGCTTTGTTTTTCGGACTTTTTCCTCCTTTCTTTTCTTTTTTTGGACCATTTCTCGAGTTATGCGTGTTATGTGTGTTATCCTTGCGGTGGGACCATGCTAATCTTCTGTATCGTTCCAGTTTTAAATTTTGATGGATGTCCCCCAGGTATTACGAATTTAAATTTAATAGTATTTTTAATTTTTAATAGCCTCTCGTTTACAAAAAGGGCAAAAGCTTGAGATATTAATATAATATTATCATTGAATGATTGAACCGATCAGCCCCAGGCAATTCAGAAATTATTTTGTTTTGTTCATCTGGTTGTATCTGGTCTGGATTTAAAGTTTAAACTAGGGTGCGTGTTTCAACCTTCAACAGATCACGGGTGTACCGAGTGAGCTACCTTCGTCCCCCGAATGCAACGTAAGGTCATTATAGCTGTATCTAGACTGAAAGATGCCTCAAATACAGCTATAATGACCACACGTTGTATTCGGGGGAAGAAGGTAGGCCCCCTGGAGGCGGGTGCTGCGTCAAGGTTTCAGCAAAAGGGTTTCTGAAGGATGAGCAGGTCTTCGAAGTTCGTACCCCATTATTCTTCAGAAAGTGACACAAACCCTTTTTCAGGAACCTTGAAGCAGTAGTCCTCTGCATATATAGCCCCTCCTTGGTTGTCATTCTGCCCAGGAAGTCAGGGGAAAACACAAAATCCTCCCCTCGCTCGCCCCCACCCAACCCCCCAACCCCAACCCCAATAAAACAGAAGAAGGAAGAAGAAGAAGAAGACAGGGGAGTGGGCCTTGAGAACGAGCTGTGCATCTCACATTGCGTTCATTGCATTATTCACTTCAAGGTTGAAGCAGCATTAAACCAAAAAAAAAAAAAAAAAAAAGGATATTATGGAGTATGTAATGTCTCGTCTCATCATCATTCTCGTCCTTGCCCTCACTTGTGTTGTCACTGTTCTCGGGGCCCCTTTGGTGCTAATTTGTATTTCCTTCGTGTTCTTATCCTCCAGGGTTGTTGGTCTGCAATCCATCTGATTGCAGCCCTAAAAACAGCGATTTTCCTCCTGATGATGCCTCCTATCCCTCCTTGCCACTTTCAAGGTCACATATTGATCCTTCTCCGCTTTTGTAGCCATCCCCCTGTGGCGTTCACAGTTCCCACACGGGCCCCTGCAGGGCCCCAATGGTAGGACTAGGGGGTGTACGGAGTCCTAGGGGTTAGAGGGTTAGTTTATATGTCATTTCGGCCCGGATTAGGGCCCACACTGCCCCACAGGGTTGAGATCAGTTACCGCGTCCAGATTAGGACCCGCGTGTTTAGGCCCGGATTAGCAGTCATGCCGTTCAGGCCCAGTATCGTTTGAGCGCCAACTTCGTTAGGCGCCAGTTCCCCTCAGACACTGGCACAGTTTCGGACTGGTAGAGGCAGCCTCCCAGTCAAACAGCGTTGTTTATAGCTGGGTCGCATAGGTAGAGGCAGGCAGTTCACAGTAGTGGCATTAGTCGACGCGTTGGGCACTGTTAGTGCGTTAGTCGACAGTGCTGGGCGCGAGATTAGTGAGGAGGTCAGGAGCCAGAGTACTGCAGTCGAGCTGCAGTGGGAGTCGGGAGTGGAGAGAGAGATGAGGCGAAGACCAGGGGACTTACCTGACGACTTACCTCACCTGCATCAAGGCGACACCTTTCTGCAGGGTAGTGCCTGGTTCACACACACACACACACACACACACACACACACACACACACACAGAGAGAGAGAGAGAGAGGATTCCTTCTTCTTCTTCTTTCTCATCCTGTCCTCCATCACTCCTCCTTCTCCCCCTCGGAAGCTATTCTTCTACTTCTTCTGCTGTGATGCGCGCGCGCGCGCGCGAGAGAGAGAGAGAGAGAGAGAGAGAGAGAGAGAGAGAGAGAGAGAGAGAGAGAGAGAGAGAGAGAGTTGATATTGAGACTTTCAGGCTGTGCCCGTTTAAAGGACATTGCGACTTGGACATTATATGAGCAGCGACAGTGGGGAAACGTTGGAAGCTGGGTTCATTGGACTATGGTGGGTGATCTCCCTACCTCCTCTTCCCTTCCTTTCTTCTCCCTCACTTCATCCGTGCATGATATTTGGACTCAGTGTATATTCTATGATTGCCGCGCTGAGTCCTTTCCCACATGTGTGATGGTGATGGTTGCCTGGTCATGTCATTGTCCCTGTTGAGTCAGATCTGTGCATTTCAGTCTTCCGCTGTGCTATTTTTTTCTCTCTATCTCTGAGATGTCGGTTCTTGGTTCTGATCGCTGCCATTTGGGCATGCGACACCCCCTCTTCCTCCTCAATGTCCCCATACTCCTGCTCCTTGTTGTTTGTTCATTGTACTTCTGTTTGCGTTCCTCTTTCTTCCTTACTTTTATCACCCCCCTCTCTACTTTCTACCGTTCTTGACCCCTGCTACTATAAGTGGCAACTTAAAGGCCTCGCTCAATGCACAGGAAAGTGCGGTCTTCAAGCTTTACCCTTGTGTATTTTTTTTTGTGAATCACCGAAGCCTCTTCTATTTCAGGGGGGCGTCTATCGTCTTGCGTATCACCGGCAAGCATGAGAGCTCTACACTTTCTGTGCTTCCCAATTTTTTAATTTTTTTTTATGCTTCCCGATTTGGTTCTACTTTGTTGTCCTTTTTTTTTCTTTCTTTCTTTTTGCGAACTCTTGCCCTGCTCATTTCGTTCCCCTCTCTCTCCCGCACCCCCCACGTCAAACTCACCTGCATTCCGTCCACCTTCCACCCCTTTCCTTTCATTCTTTCCCCCCCCCCCACCCCCCCTCTCCTCATCACAGTTCTCCTTACTGTTGGCCTTGTTCTTGCTCCCACATTCCCTCCACCTTCAAACCCTCAACTATGTTTCCTGCCTTTGCCTC